TCTAGTCCCACCCAAAAATGCTGGCCAGAGCTCCCTGCTCCCACCCAGCACACACCTCTGGAAATCTACTTTAAACCCCAAGCAACAGAGGCACATTTCCAAGAACAAAGCTTTCAGAGATCAACAGATTATACAGATACATAAAAATAAATGTAGAAAGACAAGAAACATGAGCGAGGAAGACAATATGACTCTCCAAAAGGAATACAATAATTCATCAATATTAGACTGTGAAGATGAGATTGATAAAATGCCTGAAAAGGAATTCAAAAGAATGATTGTATGATTACTCAAAAGCACACAGAAGGAATTACATGAAATAAAAAAATCCATATGTGACATGGCTGAGAAATTCTTCAGGTAGGCAGAGATATTAAGGAAAAATCAAACTGACATATTAGAAATGAAGAATTCAATATGTCAAATTAAAAATATCGTAGAGGAGCCAATGTTGTGGCATAGCTGATAAAGCCACAGTCTTAAGCATTGGGATCCCATATGGATGCCTGTTTGAATACCAGTTGCTCTACTTCTGATCCCACTCCCCACTAACGCTCCTAGTAAAGCAGTGGAAGATGGTCTAAGTCCTTGGGCCCCTGCACCCACATGGGAGACCCAAAATAAGCTCCTGGCTCCTGGCTTCAGGTTGGCCCAGCTCTGGCCTTTTTTGGTCATTTGGGGAGTAGGCCAGCAGATGGGAGATTCTCTCTCTCTCTCCCACTCCCTCTCTCTTCTCCCCACCTCTGCCTCTCTCTCTTTCTCTGCCTCTCCGTAACTCTGCCTTTCAAATAAGTAAAATAAATCTTAAAAGCAGTATGGTAGAAAGCCTTAACAACATACTTGGTAAGACAGAAGAAAGAGTATTTGAGCTAGAAGACCGACTTCTAAGATATTTCAGTCAGACAACAAAAAAAAAGAAGAAAGAAAAATTTGAAAAATTTAGAAAAACTGAAACAGTGTTTGGGATCTCTGGGATACCATCAAGTGACCACATATATGTGTCTTAGGAGCTCCTGAAAGAATGGAAAAGCAGAATAGCTTATAAAAATTATTTAGTGAATAACAGCAGAAAAATTTCCCAAATAGAGACAGATATTGATATCTAAGTCTAGGAAGCACACAAAATCCTAAATAAGCATGATCAGAAAAGATTTTTACACAACACATTATAGTCAAAGGTTTAAAAATAAAACACAAAGAAAATATCTGAAAATGTGCAAGAGAGAAACACCGGATTATCTATACAGACGCAGAGTGGCTAGTGCGGTGGCATAGCTGGTAAAGCCACTGCCAACAGTGCTGGCATCCCATATGGGCGCCGGTTCGAGTCCCAGCTGCTCCACTTCCAATCCAGCTCTCTGCTATGGACTGGGAAAGCAGTGGAAGATGGCCAAAGTCCTTGGACTCTGCACCCACACAGGAGACCTGGAAGAAGCTCTTGGCTCCTGGCTTTGGATCGGCCCAGCTCCAGTCATTGCGGCCATTTGGGGAGTGAACCAGTGGATGGAAGACCTTTCTCTCTCTCTCTCTCTCTCTCTCTCTCTCTTTCTCTCTGCCTCTCTGTAACTTTCTCTCTCTCTCTCTGCCTCTCTGTAACTCTTTCAAATAAATAAATAGATCTTTAAAAAAACAAATAAATAGATGCAGAGAAAACATTTGATGAAAACCAATATTTTTCATGATAAAACTTCAAAATATTGAGTATAGAAGAAATACAACTCAAGACAATCAATCTAATACATGACAAACTCCTAACAGCATCATATTGAATGGAGAAAAGCTAGAAGCATTGCCACTAAGATCTGGAATCAGGCAAGGATGTCTACTTCTCTACAATACTATTCAAATACTACTCAGCCATAAAAAAAGAATGAAATCCTGTCTTTTGCCCTTTTGCCATATGCTACTGAAATAAGCATACCTCAAAAGACAAATATCACATGTTTTCTTTGATTTGTGGTAACTGATACATAAAGTACAAAAACAATCAAACAAAAACTTAGCATATAAGTGGGGAACTGACATCTTGTGACTTGATTCTTATTTATAGCCGTTGTCCATGTGCCTGTTGAACAGTGGTCTTTTTTTTTTTTTTTAAGACTATTTATTTGAAAGTCAGAGTTACAGAGGCAGAGGGACACACACGCATACAAACATACACATACACACACACAGAATGAATCTTTCATCTGTTGGTTCACTCCTCAGATGTCCCCAATGGACCAAAGCCAGATGCCAGAAGCTTTGTTGAGGTTTCCCATATGGGTGGCAAGGCCCAACCACTTTTGCCATCCTCTGCTGCTTTCCCAGACCATTAGGAGGGAGCTGGATTGGGAGTGGAGAAGCTGGGACAAAAAAAAAAAAAAAAAAAAAGGTGCCCATATGGTTGGCTGGCATTGCAGGTGGCAGCTTAATCCACTATGCCACAGCACCAGCTCCAAACAATAGCATTTCTACTTTTAACTTGTTGATATCTTTATTTAATGAAATGTAAGCCTATTATTATTAAGTAAATTAAAAATATGCTATTTCAAAAATTAAAAAAGAAAGGAAAGAGGAGGGAGGGAAGTAACACTATAAGAACTATATCTATGAGGTACTTGTAATCTGTTTATTTATATTAATAAAATTTTTTTAAAGAAAACAATGGTTTTCAACAAGTGGTGTGAAGTTATCATGTGTTCCAGTAATTGTACTCTTAGGTTATACCCAAAAGAAATATAAGCCTATAGGGGCCGGCGCTGTGGTACAGCAGGTTAAAACCTTGGCATGTAGCACCAGCATCCCATATGGGTGCCGGTTCGAGTCCCAGCTGCTCCAATTCTGATCCAGCTCTCTGCTAATGGCCTGGGAAAGCAGTAAAAGATGGACCAAGTGCTTGGGCCCCTGTACCCATGTGGAAGGCAGGGAGGAAGCTCCTGGCTCCTGGCTTTGGATTGTCCCAGCTCTGGCCACTGTGGCCATTTGGGGACTGACCAGCAGTTGGAAAGTGTCTCTCTCCTCTCTCTCTCTGCCTCTCTGTAACTCTACCTTCCAAATAAAATAAACAGATACTTAAAAAAAGGGTCTAGACTTTCTCTGAGGAATGATGATACCCTCTTTCATAGATTTTGGTGATGTTTACACAACTCTGTGTACATCCTAAAACACACTGACGTGAATGTTTTCATGGTAAAATATATGGTATAAGAATTATACTTCAGTAAATTATTTCCAAGAAAAAATAATAACATTATATATTAATAACTGGAACTTATTTCCAGACAAAAAGGACTTTCTAAATCAGAGTTTATGGGTGATTATATTTTCTCTTTAACATACTAAATTTTGTTTCTGAAAATAATTGGTACAAAAGAAATAGAGGCATGCTCATTATCCAAAAAACTGAGTAGTATTAAAAGTGAGAAAGATAACAAGAATTCTGCCATTATAATATACAAAGCGTATGTGAACATGGTCCTGCAGCCATCAAAATATCAAACCAGAATGGGTTGCTTGTGTCTGCTCCCCTCTGACTTTAAATAGGACAAATAAGAGATGGGAAGGCTGATGGATCTCCGAGATATACTATGATGAGACATATGAGGGTCATACAAAATGTTATTATGAAAAAATATGGATTTCAAAAAGCTTTGCAACAAAATAAACTCATCTTTAAATTCTATTTTTCCTTGAACTTTTTGAGGTAAACTTGTATGCATGTCACTTTCATTGTTTCTTAAATTTATGGGTTATCCAGTTCTCTGATTATTCCTTATCTTCCTTGACCTAGGTATGAATTAATTATGTTCATTTTTTTCTTAGCAGTATTTGAGAATATTTCAAATATATGGGGAGAAAAATAATTTGGATTCAAATAATCCAGGATTTGTGTTTGTTAAACAGCTTGTACTAAAGTTATCTGAAACGAAGGGCCAAAATGAAATTACAGCTTTCTGTAACTTTCATGCAAGCAATGTAAGACAGACACATACATTCCCTAGTGTTCTCTGCCGCCATGGCAACCTGTAACCTAGAATAGCGAAAAAACATCAAATATACAAAAGCTAAACAACAACAAAAACAAAAACACCCTTTGTATGGCATCCGTGGGTGTGATTTAGTTTTTTTTTTCATAATTACCAAAAATTTTACTGACACAATCTATTATATTTATGCGTAAGTTTTAGAGGTAACTATTTTTATATTTCTTGTTTTCATTGAAGAAAAGCAAAATCTGAAAATGACAACATGGTATTAGTAAAAAGGAAATACTTCAATCCTTCAATTTCTTAATTTTCCTAAATATTATACCATACATAAGACACAAATATAAATATAGAGTAAGTATACAATTATATTTATATGCCTCAAAATGCTTGGATTAGTTGTTAATCACAAGTTGTGCATTTTTCCTCTTTGGGGGTTATTATTTTCAGAAATTAATTCATGTATTATTTCAAGATCCTGATACTATATGTGTTTACACATAATAGCCTTGGTTTCTCCATATTGTATTTCAGCAATTGCAGTAAAGGAATGTAATAATACAGTCAGTAGCCACAAATAAAAATATTCACTGTGTTTTACACTTTCTAACATTCAAAAACAACTATGTAATTAAATTACAACTCATCTCTACCCGCCTTTTATGGCAAACTTTGTGATAGATGTGAATTCTTAACTAGGGGCCACTCGGTACTCCAAGCACCAAATATAGTCACTTTGTTTCTTCCATCAAAACTATATCTTAAATCCCTTCAGCTCCTGTCTGTCAGGGAAAGGCTGCCAGGTGAGCAGTCTGTCACTCTTCCTAGACTAATAGATTCTCCAGTGGCCTTTGTTACAGCTCATGTCATACGATTAAAACTATGTGCCTTGAAAATGGCATAACATATGTAGCTGAATCTTGTCAACTCAGGATAATCAGACTCTATGTGGCTTCACAAGCAGATGCAGATTAGAGAAACAATATAAATATGCAAATCACGGTGGTCCGCTTTCAGCACCACTGTTCCTACCTCTAATGGCCCTCGCAGGAAGTCTGCTTGTTCTGCGCCCACTTCCAGTGCTACATCAACAGAAGCAAAGGGGCGGCTGGCCATCTGCTGTCGTTCTCGAAGCAGTTGCTGGAGGGGAAAAAAATAAAAAAATTAAAAAAAAAACAGTTTGTTTTAAAATAGGTAGAAAAGCAGATTAAATTCAACAATATCTGGTTCCATTTTTGAACAAATGGCACTTAAATTTAGGAATCATTTCATACCCATATCCATGTCTAGAGTACTAAAGACAAAACTCACTTTCTCCCCATGGTCTGGGTCATATTTCCATAGAGGCTTTAAATGTATAGTGGCTATAAATAACTTTTCCCCTGACCTCCATCTCACAGGCCTAATAAAATGTACTCAAAAGTACTTTGAAAACCTCATGTGAGAGGTGCTACTTAAGTAAAAAGTGCTATTATAATGATGGCTATGCCAAGTTTTCCACTGAAAATAACTCAGGCTTTTGTCTTAGTGGAAAGAAAGCAACAGTAAAAATGTTTAAGAAAAGATAATGAAAAGCTGTCAAAATGCACTAATCGAGATTAAAAGAACTTACACCTGCCAAGACTGTTTTGTAACGCATCAGGATTCCCTGTCAGTTGTTACGGAACCAACAGGAATTGTCATTGGCAATGTTTATAACTTCATTCAAAGCCTTGGTGTTCATTATTTAAAATAAGGAAAGATTAGTAAGTTACAGAAATGTTGTGCCAAGACTTCTAAAGAATCCCAGATATCACTTTCTTACTAGGCCTATTCTGGGCTTTACCCAGTTAAAACCAATAAACCAGCAAGCCCCAGCCAACTACCAACCTAATTTATATTTCTGCCTTTCCCTGTAATTACAGTAGTCATTAAGTTATGATAAGAAAAAACTGATGACCTGTACTAGATATTGAAAATCTAATCCATTTAATTCTATATAGCTAATAAAATTATTATTAAATATTTAAAAGGATGATGAATGCAATTAAATACTCCTTCAAAGGAGAAGAAAATCATATCATTGAATAAAGGCAAAATCCTTAAACATAATAAATGGCTTCATTATTTCTAGAAATTTTTGAAGATTCATTGGCATTAATTTAAAATGTGAACTACTGGTCTTTTAATGTAAATGGGTGTAGAAGTCGCACTACGATGCATCTGGATGATGAAGGACTATAAGCCAGCACTTGATGGTTATTATTTAATATTTTTGTTTGACACCTGTTTACACAGTGATGACACTATTTATGAAATGAATGTCAAAAATACAACTTTAGGCTTTGTCTTTTTTATTATTAAAAAGGGAGCACATACATGACAATGTGGAATAGCAATAATACAACTGTTAATGTCTAGTAGTTCAAGTCCTTAAATGATATATTTTTAGAAGTAATGAATTCATACTAAATATATATTCAAGTAAAAAGTTAATGTGATCTAAATTACAAATGATTCACTTTAATAAAAATTCAAAATACTATTATTAAAAATACAGCTGTTGGCAAAGAGAATCTGGGTTGTGCCTCTCTAAGAGTGGCTAATTGCTCTGAATTATGTATCTATGCAAAATGAAGACAATGTTATCTCAAATGGAAGGGAAACCAAGGATAGAAAACATCATGCTCTCTGTGTTTGGTGAAAACATATACACACACCCACATGCATACCCACACACACAATATACAACCTACCATTCCTACAGCAGTGTACACTTAGCTTTCATATTAATAATTTTCTCCATTTGCATTAGTTCTCTTCAGCTTACAAATGGCAAATCATATGACAAGGTGATTTTTTTAAAAAAAGAAAATAGTTTGTTTCCTCATTCTTACACATAAAATCAAAAGGTCTACAAAATACAATGAACACTCAATACCACAGGTTGTAATGTAAATCAATAAATACTACAAATTCAATCTCTTTGATGAATTTTAGAGATCCCTGAGATATATTGTATTATTGTGACACTCAACCTGCCCCTGCCGCCCACTCATAGTAAAGAAAAATCAGTGATGTGTTCTTTTGTTCAATTCTTAAAATCTATTTATAGGATGTGAAAGTATTTTTTAAAGATTCCAGATTGCCTTCTTAGCTATGAATGTCTATTACAGTCCTTTCCATCAAAAGGGAAAAAGATACTGCTCACGCCCAGGTCCTTAACCTATAGTTTATAAAATAAGTTATAATAAAATATAAGTAAACAGGGTACAACATAGTGTATCAGTAAAGCACACAAACAAGGAATTAGACAAATACATTTATTCCAGGTGCATTAGTGAGGGACTAGTTAACAGACTCTTGCCAACACTGCTGCATTTCCGACTTTGGGGAACTAATCTAATGTCCTTATTGTGAGACTTGGGAAGAGTAACCACTTTCTCCTGAAATTTGCTTTCTTTGGTGTGATGGTCCTACAACAATAAAGTGGAATAAAGTGCAATTATCTTTGTTATTAATGTCTGGCTCTCAACCTTATCCTTAACAATTGTCTTCCTTCTTGCCAATTAACACCAGGATGCATTTCTTCCTGAATCATGCCCTTTCCATATAAGAACAAAGGAAATGTAAACAAATGCTTATGACTTAAAATTTTCTTAAAATTTAGTATAAATAATGACCTGTAATATAGTTAGACTCTAGAGTCAGAAGGACATGTGTTTGAACACCAGTTTCTCCACTTCTTTGCTGTTTGAGCTTAACCAAATGTTTTAGCGCTCTCTAAGCCTTAATTCTTCTGATCTGAAAAGTGGGGATAATGATAGTGCCTACACCCTACAGGAGCTGTTCTGAATTCCAACCCCTCTACTCACTAGCTCTGACCACAATCAAATGATGTGGACCCTTCAAACATTTACTGTTTCTCTCTAAAAAATAAGGATAAGAATAACATCAAAAAGTTTGGACTGCAGAGATAATGTACTTGGACTGTTCAAAATGTAGAAGGCTGGCATGTTGTGAGCACTCAGTAACTACTCTGGTACAATTGTTATGTGAAATATCAAGCACTAATTTTATCTTTGAAGATGGCACAGTAATTAGCACAGGCCACAGGCCCATTTTCCTCAGCACTAGTGACACATTTTGCTCTACCAGTCTCCCTTTTAACAAATGTTGCACATTTATGAGACAGTTGGAAAATGTCATTATTGTGGTGAAACTAATTTAGATTTGGAACTGCTTTCTGCAATTTATGACTAAGAATGATGAAAACTCAACCTGAAAATTAGGAGAAAATATATAATACTTTCTCAACAAATTTTGAAGGTTTATTTTCTATGATTGTGTTTTCTATATAAAATGAAATCTAACATTCTGTACATATATATGAAGCCCTATAACAAATGTATCTGTTTTAAATAGTAATCTGATATTGCCAATTATTCAGCAGGACAATAAAACCAAGAGAACAAACTGATCATAATAGAAAAGATAATAATCATGCTGTTATAAACATTGTGAAGAAAAATTTAAAATTAAAGAAATGATGTTGGTATAATATTTGTGACTCACAATAACTGATTTACTATTCAAAATATCTTATAAAACAAATTATAACATTAAAAATAACAGGAAAATTCATTTTTAAATTTGGCAACTAGGTGTATCATTGATTATATTAATTGTCTATATGAATACAGATGTTTTACCTCAATATTATACAATAAAAGACCCAATATTCATACTAGCCACCATCCCAATAACTGCAAGGCATAGGATGATAACTTTCACTACACACATACTCACAAAACAGAATGGTAAGTGTGTCCTCAGTTGTCCTCACATCATCTACCCCATGTCCATTATGTTTAGGTTTCCCATTTATCGTTCTCTACCTCCAAATGTTCTACTACACAACAAGTTTGAAATGATCACCTCTCCTATGAACTATTTATTAAATTAGCCTGGAAATCTTTATATTTCAACGCTTTTCCAAATCTTCTTTATGGCATAAAAAATTTAGTAATTTTTAAAAAATTCTCTATAGCACTTAGTAGTCAACATTATTTGATGAATGAATACATGAATAAAACATTGCATAAAACATTTCATATGAATGTAGGTAAAGGAAAGTTTTGATAAAACTGATTGTAATTATGAATAAACTTTTAAAACTATTATATATCCTTTGAAATTACAGAATGTATATCTTATCTTCCAAAGCACGTAGAATTTTTTTTTTTTAGAATGAGGCAGTTTTGTGGGCCTATATTTCAAATCAATATCAGATTTCATTTTGCCCCTCACCCAATCTATTGCAACACTGCAAAGATTATGGAAAAATATGCTATGAAGTCATCATAATGTAGAAATATTTTAATAGATACTATATTTCTAAGATTTTGGAAAGGTAAGGAGCAAACAAAATAATTTTTGTGACTCCTGATTTTACATAGTAAAGTGAGAAAACATGTGAATTAGGGATTAAGCAACAATTCACTAAATACGGTATTTTTGTTATTAAGACAAACACATTTAACAGAATAATATAAATTAAAAATTTTGTTATTTTGGAGTTATGACTATGTGAAGAAATAGAGAATTGGCAATATCTTAGGAAAGAATGACATTCTGTCACTTCAAATAATTAAATGTGCAAGGTACAATGTTCAAATTCTTATTCAGAATATCAGGAATCTTTTGCTTCCAGTCTTCCAGTTTGAACTTTGCTTGTATGTCAAGGGAGTGACTTGACTGAACATCTTTATTCAGGTTAACCTCAGTTAGTTTTCTCTAATCCTGTACAGTTTGATCTACTGGTGATATGTTTTGCTGGAAATACTGGTTTTTACTTAATAAGAAAGGAAAACCTTCCTGACAGGTATTTACTGAGTTATTGAAAATGTTGACCTCCAATGAGCTTTTTAAAAATTATTTACTTATTTAGACTGCAGAGAGAGAACCAGACACACAAAGAAAGCTCTCATCCATTGGTTCACTACCCAAATGCCTGCAGTGGCCATCAGTTTGGAAGTCAATCCAAGGCTTCCACACACAGTTGGCAGAAAGCTGATCGCTAGAGCCATCACCACTGTCTCCCAGAGTCTACATTAGCAGGAAGCTAGCATCAAAGCTGGAGCTGGGAATTGAACCCACGT